GGACAGGCTGGATGAGTCTGCTTGCACTTCCTTGTTTTCTTGAGTGCAGTTCAAAAATGAGAGCTGAGATGTGAAAAACACACAATTGGAGCTGGCAGTCAGCTCTTAGCCTTGCCAAATTGACTGGATGATAAACATGGGTTTCAAAAGACATCAAAGCAGCAATCCATTTCATTGTCTCTACAGGTACCATATTGAAATTGGATGCAGGAATATTACCAGAAAAATCTGTCAGCAGGCTATTGTAACACTGCTGTTTGTATAAGCAGTGATCGAAATTTTATATGAACTAAAAAAATTAACTTGTACATTAAAGGAAAATAAACATGTTTTTTTAGGTACATTGTTTTGGGTTTGAAACTCTGTAGAGTTCATTGCTGGTTTGAAAAGGGCATCCTCAGAAACAGTGGAACCATCCAGGTTAGTCCCATTGCTGAAATTCCCAATGCTAGAAAATAATTCCTCTTTTGGGCTCTGGTACATGCAAGGGCAGCTGACTAGACATGTGTTTAACAATACTGTACTCTGTGCTCTGTTGCATCTGTTGCAGTTATAAAGCATTATAACTTGTTGCAGTTATAAAGTATTATTATATTAGCTTGTTGAATTCTACGCTACACATTTTAATGATATAGCACTCTGTACAATGTATGTAAGTTTGCCATGATGATTAACATGAAATGTAGTGTGTGATTTTAATTAGGTCTATAAGCAATTAAAGAAGGCTGCCTGGCATCTGGCTTGTATTACACAGTTCGACTCTGTATCTTAATTGGCAGTCAGCATTATTATACAAAATTTCTCACACAGGAACTGTATATGTTAATAATTGCAGTTAAAATCCCCTGCTGTCCAAAGTCCATCACATAATTCTTTGTCATACACTCTTGTGGCCTGTAGCTAGGAAGTTGGTTTCAGAATCCCAAAATCATTTGTTTGAGGAAACATATTCTGTTTCCTGTCTTAAATGTTCCTATGGTTTATTTCCACTTGTGTTCTTGAGTTCCAATATTGTTGCTGATCAAGTCCCTTGTTTTGACTTAGCTAATGCTGTTCAAAATGTTAAATATGTCTACATTTATAATTAATTACATTAATTGGGTTCTGCAATACCTGTCACTTGGAATTTTGATAAAAACAAGTGACATTAGTTTATGATGTTCTCAGATAGTGGGATGTCAAAGTACTCCTCTTAGTAGTTATGATCTCAGTGTACCTCATGCTTAATGAGGAATAACATCATCCAATAAAAAAAAAGTGTTTAAGAATGTTTATTGAGGAATAAGAAAATTTGGCCTAACCTGCTTGGAAGAGGACCAACCTTGGCATGGAAGTCAGGATACCCATACAGAGGGAGAAGGAAACCAAGGGGCAGCTGCAAAGGTGGAGATGGGGTGGAGGACAGAGCAGAAAAATGAATGTTAGTGAGAGTGGCTGATTGTGGTATTTATAGTTTTTTCAGGAAGTGATGTCATGGAGGATCACTAGCTCAAGTAGCAGAAGTGAGAGAGACATTGGCTGTTGTCATCCCTCACAAACGTTTGTTACAAACTCAATTTAATCAAAATAGTTTGCCATTTGAAGGGTTCTTATAACACAGAAATATGATATTCTGTTCCAAGGGTACAAATACTGGGGTAAATGTGTCTCAGACTTTATCACAAAAAGGTAAAAACCAGAGTAGTGTTGCTATCCTTTGCTTTCATCAAAGATAGTATGTTTCTTATGAAAATGAACCAAGTCTGAACTGAGTTATTTAATGTGTTCTGTTTTTTTGTGTGTACTACAGTGATTCAGCATATTCTATTCTATCACATTTCTAATTTGTGAATCACAATGTAAATCACAAATGTAAACAAAAAAATCTTTATCTTTTACAGAAGTTTTATCTTTACAAAGTGTTTGAGAAGGCCATCATTTTAGTACACCACACTTAGGAGATTTATGCAACATTATGTTGTAACATGCCCATAAGATTTGAAATATATGTATACTTGGAATTGGTCAGGACACTGATGTTCAAATTTCTGAAAGGAAAATGGTTTTAAAGAAGAAAGAATATTTATGATATTATTATTATGAGAAGAAGGAGAAAAAAAGAAATGACGAAGAAGAGCTAACTGCATATGTGTTAGTTCATCACATTTCATTTCTCCAGAATGCTTGTGTAATTTGCAAAACACAAAGGAAAATATCTTTATACAATCCAAAATAATAAGCCCTTTTAATAGAATGTCTTCTCAACAGCAGTGAATAGTCACATATTTTCAGAAGACTTGCTTCATACCAGTGGTTTACCAGGTAGTATTTAAGCAACACATTGGAAGTACAGTGACTTTGAAAAACTTGCTGCTGAAAGGCTGAATAAACTGTCTGATCTTGTGTCTTCATCGTGACACCCTTGTTAAGCAGGAGGAAGTGAATAATCAGCTCAGAATACAGGTCCTTACTCATTTTTCAATTATGGGTTTTATTGGGATTTCTACCTAGTGAAATATGTGTATTCTGACACATGTTAACAGAGCATCCCCAATTTCACCATTTATGAGAAATGTTATAGACTTGGGTGACAGGTTCCATTTAAAAATGGTAATGAGAAGACACCACCCTGGAACATGTGATGTCTGTCTGCCTGAGTGACTGGTCTTGCAGCCTGTTAAAGGGGACATTCTTTCAGTTCTGGTCTTGAGCTTTTAAGCAATTTGGTTTCCTTAGATGTGCTCACTGTTTTTAAATAGGTTGGGTAGCTATAAACAAGCATTCATTTATAATTGTCAAAAACTGAATGAGGTTAAGATTTCAGTTACTGTGAAGATACACAACAACATACCATACAAATAAAAATGCTGTACTTATCAATAAGCAAACACACATATGAAAAACGTACTTTGTTCATATTATGATTATTGATTGATGATTAGATTTTTATTATTTTCAGAGATGTAATCCACTGGAAAATCAGAAAGATTTGTACTTTGCATCTCTTTAAAAATTGTCAAAACATTTCCCTTTTACAGAAGACAGATATGTTAATTTGTTGTTCAGTTCTCAACTTGCATGATGTGAAACCAATTTCACTGTTTGCATACTGCAGGAAAAATAAGTCAAGATGACTTCTCAGAGCCTTGTGTTACCCTTATCATCTGTGATCCATTGAATGTTCATTTCCACTCAGCCATCAAAAGGTTAAAGTGGGGTAAAAATTATGTTTTCTGGAGTGCATCTCAACTTGATTTTAAAGTAGAATGTTAACATGAATAAACATGGTTTTAAAACTGAAGGCCATATTCTAAAATAATTTTGAACAAGGTTTATCTGAGTACTACAATTCATACTGAGGTGAGTGTCCAGTTGAGTGCTAAGATAAATCAGAGGAAGGGAATTTAATTACTCTGTGGTTATTTGATCAATATGTGTTGCTCAGAATTTGATTCCTCCCAGCCTTACTAGTGTAAAAATACCTCCATCTAGTGGTTTTTGAAAGAACTCGTCTTTTTATTGATAGTATACAATACTTAATCATTATTATGATAAAATACTTTTTAAATGTCAATATTTCTTCCTACTACAGATTTTGAAGTTTTCTGCAAGGCTGCATAATTATTTTAAGACAATTTCAATAAATGACTTATAGCAAAATTCTACCTTGAAATAGCTGAGTTGACCAAAAAAAGAGTCTCTGTTGACCTTTTTCATAAATGATGTCGTAGCAACTGTCCCATCCTAAGTTTTTGTCTGAGTCCAGTCGCAAGTACTTGTAGTCATTGACAATGTATACAGTCTGACCGTTAATTACAGTCGGTTAGAGGAGTGTTGCATTTTTCCTAAAATTACGGACTAGTTCCTTTGTTTTCAAAACATTTAACTCCAAAGAGAATTCATCAGACATTTAGTAAAAGCATTTAGAATGGACCTATGATGATTTTCTTTAATAAGCTGACCAGGACTGTGTCATTAGCAAATTTATGAGATGTCTGTGTGTTTGCTCTTCAATCATTGATGTACAAAATGTACAGTAGGAGGGAAAAGATTCGGTCCTGTAGTGATCCAGTGGAAGTGTAGTAAATGTCAGATAACCATTTCCTCAATCTGGCCTGTTGAGATCTGTTTGTTAAGAATAGAGCCCATCCTTCCTGGTCACCTGCTTGAGGTCCCAGTAGTCCACACACAATTGGAAGGAGTCATCCTTCTTCTTGATGAGCGCTGGCTTGAAGAGCAATTGGCTGTCTGAGGGCTCCACAATGCCAGCATTGGTCAGTTCTTCCATCACTTAACAACAAGGGTGGCAACCAGATGGGTGCAGCTGTCCCTATGTTTGATATAGTGTTGCACCAGCCTGGTATGAGTGCTGTCCTCATCCTGAGCTGCAAAGGTGTCCTGGAAACCCCACAGAAGTTCTATAAACTGGCACTGCTGACCTAATCTGAGGCCTGGACAGCTGCATTGCCACATATCTTCGATGGCCTTATCCACTGATACACTCCTTACTGACTAAGGGAAATTCCCTCCTTTCTGTTGGCCTCAGCATGGGGGTATTCCCTATATCTTCAGCAGGAGGTCTGGGCTCCCCACCCCCAGAAGGTGCCTTCATGTCATGCCTTCCTTGACATGAAGTAAGTCCCTTCTTAACTTCTCCCCAACACTGCTGTGAGGCACTCTCCTTCCTTTCAGCGCATGCAGGCTGGTGCTGGGTAGACTGCCCCTTGTGATTTTGCCCAAAGGTGGGGTCTTCATGCCCAGGGTGTCCAAGTACCTCTTGCCACCCCACCCTGGTGCTATTCTGAACTTCTGATGTCCATGTCCATGTAGTATTCATCTATAAATCAGATACCAATCACCATCCTCTGACAGCAGTGAATCCCACTACGCCAAAACGACAGCCTTATGTAACAAGTGAATTCAAGGCCACTTAGGGCTTGGGGGATCATGTCCCTATAATGTGCTCATGGGCTGATATAAAGATATGAACTACCCTATTTTTAATTGTTTTTTGCTTTCAGGTGCCCACAAAAAAGCTGAAAAAATATGAAAAGGAGTATCAGTCTATGCGTGAGAACCAGCTGCAGCAGGAAGATCCTATCGACCGGTACCAGGTAAGAGAAGGCTGCTTTCATCAGAAACCACAGAATGCCAGTAGGACTGAGACCTGCAAAAACATGTCATTATAAACAAGACTTTTCTAGCTGCCTAATACTGTAATCCAGACTCATCTTCAGTCAGACCTTATTATGGTGAATCTCTCTCAACAGCTGGACAGTTGTTGCAGTATTTGGAAAACTACAGTGCCTTATGGGTGCTTTACACCTGGCAGCCCTTTCTGTAAAACAGTTGCTAGTATATAAATACACAATTTCCTAATTGGCACTGACAGTTTTTTGGAGACAGTACTGTAACAACAGTTTAATGGCAGCTGACGATGAAAAGTTGTTCCTCTTGATTTTCAAGTGTTTAGCATGTTACTATGTATATAAGATAAGATAAGATCACTTTATTGGCCATATACAATTTCTTGTATTAGGAATTTGTCTTTTTGCATACCCCAGCTTGCTCTCCATGAGACACACAGACAGGGAGAGAAGCTTGGACACAGCTTTCTGTCACTGTGCAGGTTATTTACTCAATGTGTCACATTAGGACATTTTGTAGCAAATGTAAGTTTTAGCAATGACTGTTATCAACAATTGCCAATATATAATCTTAGAAAAGAGAATTGTTAAAGAATTGTAGAGAGGGGGTAGAAGCTCCTAGAAAAAGTCTTTGATGATAGTGCACATTTTGATTTGTGAACTAATCATAAACCTCTTTCATTAAAGCAATAGGAGGGAAGAGTCAGAGCTAGGAGTAACACTGTTTTTTTACAGAGGAAACTTAGCAAAACTATGGTAGGAAGAGAGAACAATATAATTTAAACACCAAAAAACAAAACTAAAATCCATGACCCATCTTGCATCTTACAATATTGCATTGCACCCTGCTGTATGTACATCATATAGACACTGTATTCTTGGCTTTAATACAGTGTCCTTCAGAATGATTGGCACCCTTGTTAAAGATGATCAGAAAAGGCTGTGTCTTTGTTGTTTAGCAGCTTGATCTTACACAAAAAATATGAGAGAAATCTAACGTTTTAGTGGGGTAAAATTACTCAAAAGAAAAAAAAATCCTTATAAAAATTGTGTCCCAATTATTGGCACCCCTAGTAATTCCTATAAACAACATCTAATTAACATATATTCCCATTCATATTTTACCTTTTTTAAGCACACCTGAGTCTTTAGGAACTCTTTAGGAACTCCATGACTTCTGGTTTCACTGGGGTATAAATATGAGGTGACACGCAAGCCAAACACCCTTAGTCATCCATCAACATGGAGAAGATCAGAGAATACACAAATGGTAAAAGGTTGTTGACCTTCAGATATCAGGCAATGGCTATACAAAAAATAGCTTCATACCTGAAAATACCCATCTCCACTTAAGAAAATAATTAAGAAGTTTCAAACAACTGGAGGTGTGATGAACCTGTCTGGAAGAGGACGCAAGAGTATTTTGCCCCCACGCGCAATGAGGAGGATGGTTCGAGAGGCAAAACTTTCTCCAAGGATCACAGTTGGACAATTGCAAGAGTTGGTTGCATTCTGGTGTCAACAAGTCTCCAAAACTACAATTAGACACCACCTCCATACCAACAACTATTTGGAAGGCTTGCCAGAACATAGCCTCTGCTGTCATCAAACCACACAAGTATGTGCCTGGAGTTCGCTAAACATCACTGGAACTTTGATTCCACTGGAACCAGGTTCTATGGTCAGATTAGACAAAAATATAACTTTTTGGCAACAAACACCAGAGGTGGGTTTGGCGTAAAAAGAGTCAAGGTCATGCAGAAAAGAACCTAATCCCCACTGTGAAGTGTGGTGGTGGATCTTTGAAACTGTGGGGCTGTTTTTGTTTTCCAAATGCCCTGGGAATCTTGTTAGGATACATGGCATCATGGACTCCATCAAATACAAGGAGATTTCAGATAAAAATCTGGCTGCCTCTGCCAGTAGGCTAAGACTGGGTCGTGGTTGGATCTTCCAGCAGGACAGTGATCCAAAGCATAACTCCAAATCCACACAAAAATGTTTCACTGACCACAGAATCAAGTTTTGCTTGATTTTTCCCAGTCCCCTGACCTAAATCCCATTGAAAACCTGTGGGTTGAGCTGAAAAGGAGAGTCCACAAGCAAAGACCAAGAACTCTTTGAGATTTTGTATGGAGGAATGGTCTCAGGTCCCTTTATATGTGTTCTCCCACTTCATCCAGCATTATAAGAGAAGACTCAATGATGTTATCTTGGCAAAGTAAGGGTACTGAATGCAGGGGTGCTAATAATTGTGATTATTATTTATTTTTTATAAGGATTTTTTTCTTTGAATCATTTACCTCACTGAAAGGTTAGATTTCTCTCATATTTGCAGTGTAAGATCAAGCTGACAAACAACAAAGACATTTTTTCACAGCCTTTTTTGCTCATCTTCACCAAGGGTGCAAATAATTCTGGAGGGAACTGTAGATGATACTGCCTAACTTGATTGCGAAGCCCCTGATTTTCATGCAAACCATCGTTTTCCTGGGTGATCCCCACATGATCTTCCTCTTCTTTCAGTTTGTTTTTGTTTAGACCCTTCCATCAGTATCAGCCTGCGCACAAGAGAGGGACAGTTGTTTATCTGGCATTAGGAGCGAATGTGATGGTCAGTCTGCGACCAGAGAACTTGGAGCCCTGAAATGAAAAAACAGTGGTCTGAAGGGGTTTGCAATGAAAGAGGCAGAAGTAGTCTCTGACTGAGTCATTGTTCTCTCTCTTTAGAGGAGGTTAAGATTTACTCCACTATTTCTGAGTATTAAGTTGGCTTCAATCACATGACATTTAAAAACAATCCAAATTTTGGGACATCTTAAGAGGCTGTTCTAATAAAAAAAATAGATCACAAAAAGGTAACCAATGTGTTGCTTTTATCGCAAAACAAGCTTTTAATGATATATTACCTCCTTTAAAGAATAATTTGTATTAAATTTCTTTGTAAATGTTTTTGAACAATGTGATTCACCAGTGAAGTGTTTTGAGTCTTGCTGATAAAATCAAAGACCATCATGCTGCAATGAGTGGCAGAAGCTAAAGACTTGTGATTTCAAACGTAGGAAAAGAATTTCACCTATCAAATTTGCGGCTATAGTGTAAATGAAATAATTGCTTATTGGCTGCACCTATCACCTATAGAAGGTGGGCTCACACCTGAAGAAGGTTCCACGGCCGAAACGTTGTATTTTATTTCTTCTCTTTTCAGCATGGAATAAACCTATTACTTGTTCCTTTGCAGCCTACGCATGCTGACACAGCTACCCACCTGACCTATCACCTATAGTCCTGTGTGAGGAAATTTGTTTTTTCAGGGGAAAAAATACAGCAAATCAAAGTAATTTTAGTATCACTGCATGGTTCCCTTGCATAAAGGATGTAAATCAGAAAGAAAGTTCAGACTTTTACTATTCAAATGATTTTGGGATATGCAAAAGTCACTGCTCAATCCCAACACTGACAAAAAAACATCTTAATCTGCTTTTGCATTTCCCTCCCATTCAGAAAAAGGAAGAAGAATTCAGCTGAACCTCTTTGAACCTCAGTTGTTATACTCAGATTGCTGGATTAAGGATAAAAACAGCTTCAGCAAAAACATGGCCTAAAAGAAACAGTTACAGAAATTATCAACAAACACTCAGATCACAGAGCTCAGTTTAATTTGTCTTTTCAAGGCATAGACCATTGTAAATCTTGCTGAGAAAATTAGGCATTAATCTCTGCACAACAATGGGGCAAAAGGTAAATCTTGTGTTCTACAGAAGAATTTAAATTACATGACTAAGGTTGCCTATGACTCAATATAGTGACAGTGACTATCACTAGTCACATTATCACTATGTGTGTACTAAGTGCAGTTCTGAAAACTGCAAACTGCTTGATACTTGGGAGTCATGACCAGTGATGAAAAGTGAAGAGGCAAGGCACCAAGTCACAGGAACAATGGCTTCATCTATATACGACAGCAGGAACAATGGCTTCATCTATATAGAATGGATCAATTCTGTTATTCCTGGTCTTCAGAAATGACAAGGAAATACACTGAACATCCAAGTAACGCTTGGGTGGAAAATCTAAGGCTTTTGCTTGATTTGGAGTACTCCAAATGTTGTTCTTTTTTAAATGAGTCAGCATTATTTCAGCACAACACTTGTGACAATCAGAAGTGTTTAAATTCAGTTCTCTGGACTAGCTTCAGCACCTGTACTGCAAGCTTCCATTCCGGAGAACCAGATATGTAAAAGCCTTAAGGCTAACCTGGAGACAGTGAAAAACAATTGGGTTTCCATTTTAATGATCTAAACAGCAGGGGCTGTATCTTTACCAAAGCACAGAAATGTCAGGGAGGTATGGAATAAAGTAAAGTTCTGAGCTGGGGTACAGCTGGGGCGGTACTAGTTCCCTTTAATCTGAAGGTCCATGGTGATATGGGTGGATGCTAAATTCAACTAACTTTCAGTCCAAATCAGGGGTTTCCAACCCTGATAAAACCCAGGTTTTATAGATTGCCACTATACTGAGTCACCAATTCCTAAAGATCCTGGAGCAAATAAAATGTGTAAATTGGGAGCAGTAATAGGTGATTTGCTAAACCAATTATTTAAATAATTTAGAAATCATTTGAGTATACTGTCCAAGTTTGAGTCAGTCCTCAGATACCAGAGGTCTCTTTATTGACGTGCTTACCTGTTTTAATACTTAGGTGTCCTCAATGTTTGGAAACTGGAGGCCTTTAAGACCAATTGGTGCTCTCCAGGAACAGGATTTGGATCCAAGCAGCCTTCTTAGCTGAAACTTCTTTGCAGTGTTGACACAGTCTGGTTCCAATAGCACTAGTGCAAAGTAGTGAAAAACAGTGGCTTGATTAACGAAAAATGAGTTATTGCATTTCTATATTGCTTTCATCCCAGATGATCCCAAATCAATTTACATGTATGAGGAGATTTGTGGTTTACAGTGTTGGTAAT